TAACATAAGGTTTTTCTGCACGTTTTGTCTTGTTGAAATGATGACGTAAGAGTTGATTAAAGTTTAACTTTGAAATTTAATAAGAGATAACTTTTGACTTGACGGCGGGATATTCTGGAGTGTCCAAAATAAACCCGATGTGTTCCGTACAGAGTCTAGAACCTAACTGATTTACAATACAACATATCACAGTTAAATACATGTGCGTACAATAAAGGTACCTGAGGTTTAAGTGACAGGTGTCGCTAATTGTTAGATCAATTAGCCGTGGTCAGTGTCCACAAGGTAATGGCTATTACACTAATCCTGTTGCGCAATGTTGCGTAATGTGATGGACAATAGTAATGAGTTATGAAAGTAAGTTTACAGAGAGTACGTACTTAGGGATATAAAAACTTCACTCATGAGTCTTATCTCAAATGTCACAAAGGATATACAGTAATAACAATTAAGGATAATGCCACATGTATATAGCCAAATTCTGTCTAAATGTCATATAAACGTGTTTTGTATTAAGTCACACTTGAGTTGTTAGATATGGACAATTCGAAATATAAATTTAATAACAAATGGTAAGATTATAGTTTTTCATGAATAAGCAATTATTTACACAATTAATTTCAGCACTGATTTATCACAAAATTTCTGCGTGATATATACGTACAAACCTGTGTAAAAAATTGCGCCAAGGGTGCATTCTCGATGTAGGTCTATTTATAATGAGCGACGATTAGACACATTTCCGGATTCATCAAGAGTTTGGTAAAGAATATACCTGCTGTTGCCCACTGCATGTATCGTAAGGGCCAGTGGAAACTCGGGCTAACTGACACTATGTTGTCGGTCGACAGCGTGGTACTACTGCACATGGTAACTTCTTACTGAAAGACACGGATATTGCGCTATTTCGCTCGTACATGTAACTACATTTATCATCGGCTTTTCCAAAAGAAAAAAAATGACCACACTGGACGTTGGCTTCGGGTCATGTTATTATCGACTACGTAAAGTTTCGTTAGGAAGTTTATATTTTCAGTATCTAATCGATTTTAAAAGTTTTATTTGACTAGGCTAATCGATTTTAAAGGTGTTATTTGACTAAATGGCCCGTTTAAAGTATTGACTGCATATGATTTATGTGAGCTTGTATAGTTGGCAGGGCCAATCTGGGTATGGCAAGTTTGTTTTATTAAAATGTAACCAGTTTTTTCTCTAAAGTGGAAAAATAACAAGATTCAATATATTTAAGTATAAATGTAGTAGATAATGTATTTGCGTCTTTTCGCTAATAATATCCAAACATGTAGAAGCTAGGTACTTTAATTTGTAAAGATCGCGCAGCCGACGAATAATTTGTACGGCATATACATATATGTATATAAAATGAAAACGCTAATGACATGTTGTTGAGATTTTTCTCTTTATATCATATATGTGTGTGAGAGTGTGTGAGTGTATGAATGGCGGTCAGGAATGAGTAAGCTTTAAGTATTCGAAGATTTGTGTGAAACAGGGGTTATAGTACAGTGTTAAAAGTGGATAGCGCTTAGGCTAATAATAGCATCACAAACTTAGTTTTACTACAGTTTATAGCTCAGGGGTAAAACCGGGATTGTCATAGCAATCTACCTGAAAAACATTGTTCATAGAAACCTACCAGGATTTCAGTGTAAGTGTAGCAGTACATAGTAGTGGCGTATGGGATCTAGGACAGCATGTCTTGTCGACGACCGGTGATATCTTCAAACGGGGGCAGAAATGCTCGATACGGTAAGACTAGCTACTTATATTACTGATCATACATCATCCAGATAAGTTAGTGTCTTAATTATATTATAAAGATAATACATTTCATGATGAGATATGGGTTTCCTTACAGAGGTTAGTATATATATATGGAGACATGGGTAGCCACGCGTAAGTTATAAAGGACTATGCAGTGGCGGATCCAGAGGTTTCTTATGGACTTCAAGGACCCCACCCCCTACCCTGATACCCCCCGGGAACTTGGACCCCACCCCCATCCCCGATATGTCTCTGGATCCGCTACTGCTATGGTTCACATTCACATAAGGAGATTAGATGGGGGGTCGGGGGGTCATAGTCCCAGAGAGGGAAATTAAAACGGTTATAAGTTATAACATAGGTAAGTTATAAGCAGATTTTGACATAAACATTGGAGTTCTAAAGAGATATTGATCCACAGAAGGTGGTTATACGAATGGCATAGATTTATCTCCACATGTACATATGTAAGTTAAAATGGGAAATACACTGACAGGGAGGTTATAAAAGGTATGGATGTCGATGAGAAGACATGGCAAGGCTTCATGTATAATTATTCGAAATTATTTGAAAATATTAACTTTACGGATTGGACACAATGTTTTCCCAATTAACCAATTTCATATTTTGTTTTTAGCAATAAATTAATCTTTTTTAGACTTTGGTGACTATTAAATGACGCACTTTCTAATCCACCCTCGAGGCCGAGTTGTGTAAATCGTTCTTTGATCTCCACCAGTTTTACCGTAATTGATAGGTATGGGTAGTGGTAGTAGCCCGAATGCCCTCTGGCATCTATATGCCAAAATGTCTTAGTCTGGTGTAAGGGCCAGATGAAACTCGGGCTAGTAGTAGAAGGTGCTGGTCAGTACTTGTAGGTTATATTCCGTAGTCTGATGAATAATTCTGCATTTGATAATGCTAGGATAGCGTACTAACCACCATCAGGATTGGTGTTCAACATCGGCTTTTGTTTAACCATTTATACAAGTTCCTTACACGTGCTTCAAATTCTCATTGTGTATCATGCTATTTATGTAAAGTTGAAACAAAAATTATAATAGCTCTATAATTACCTTCCGGTATCATGATAATCTAAGATTCCCGGAAATTCCCTATAATTACGCCTAGGGTGGATTTCACAATTCAACTTTGATTGACGTTTCCTTCTGAAAAGTATTGTTTGTATCTTGATAGTTATTCTTTGCACCCTCTTCTTGAAATTGTTTCTTTTTTCAGAAGTTTTGATTTTTGTATTCTTACACTAAAAAAGCTCATATGAAACTGAAAGAATGCGTTTGTTTTCTAACAATGACGGCTTCCTTTTCCAAGAAAGGTGAACGGGGATATATGATGATATGGTTTTACACAATGTCGAAGCATAGTTTTACGAGACATGACAATGACAAAATGCAATGATTGAGTTCCTGATTGGTTTGGTTTGGTTTTGTATTGTTTAACGTCCTATCAAAATCTATGGTCATTTAAGGACGGCCTCCCCTGTGTGCAAGATGCATGCGTGTAGTGTATGCGTGTGTGTTTTGGGAGGCTGCGATATGTTTGAGTTTGTCTCCTTGTGATAGCGCGGAACTGATGCCGATTTTATAGTGCTACCTCAATAAAACATACTGCCGAAGACACCCAACAGGACACCCCAGCCGGTCACATTAAACTGACAACGGGCGAACCAGTCGTCCCACTCATGAATTGCTGAGCGTTAAGCAGGAGTAGAAACGTCTCGGCCAGGGGACAGAACCCAAAGCCTTCCTCACAGGGGCGAACGCTCAACTAAAGGCCAAAAGTGAGGCATTGTCAAGGGAGACATAAGAAAGAAGAATGTTGTTTAGAAAGAAGAGAAAAGATAAGATCCCAAATTTAGTCGCCTCTTGCGATCATGCAATGGGGGCAGCAGGTACAATTCTTACGCCTTACATGCAGGGACTGAGTTCCTGATTGAAAATATCGATTATACAAAGCTATTCGGGGGTAAGATTTTCCAGCAGATTGAAGGCATTCATAAAAGGTGCACCATTTGGAACAAATGGTGACCTTTTATGACCGATTAGGTTTTGTTTTCATACGAACTGAATCTGTTGAAGAACTGGTGATGATATCGATGATGTATTTTTAAATTACAAAAGATGTATTGACCATGTCGATCGTATATTCGCTCATGAATTGATAATCAGGGACACATAAACTGGTCTACATCAGTCGCTTTCTTATATCTTTACAACAGGTACGGCTTAGTTCGTTATACGATACGCGATACAATTTCGTTTTTCCGAGTTTGAACTTTTTCTTTCTTGATTGGAACATCCAAGCTCCCATACAGTGTTGACATGTCGCTGTCGGTATTTCCTGTAGATGTCGACCGCTGATGATCTTTACAACACAGGGTTTCATGAAATGCAGTGAGGTAAAGCGTAGGGCCAAGTTTTTGGTCGCGGTCATGATCTCTGATAAGTCTTCTGTTTCCTTGTGTGATATGAAGAACAGTGCTTTTTATTATGCTCACTAGTTTGTAATCTTGTTTCGTTGTCACTCCTCTGTTGTCACTTTGAATGCGTTGCATTGCTTGAAAAAGAAGGAGCTCACCGTTCCGGAATGTGTGATATTTTTACCCTGAACAATTTCCAGGGTTTACTTTCCTTTGTTCATTATTTGTCCTTTTTGTATCGGTTTGAGAAATTACTGATTTGTTGACGTAACAGTATTTTTTTTTTAATTCCAGAATATACAGCACTAGAGCCTAACACAAACGAAAGTACACCAGAAGACGACTTTGATAAAAGAGTTCTCGAGGACTCGTTCCAAAGGGCGGTACGTTAGCATTGATTGTTCATAAAACAAACGTTCACCAGAAATAGAATCTGTAGTGTTTTATAGAAAAATACTTCGTCAGCGATCGAACATTTAAGAACTAATTTCAATTACAAATATGATAACCTATGTTTGGTGCTTTACGTTTAGTGATGACAGGGCACACACAGGCGACTGCACCTACTGATTTGGTAATAGATACAATATACAGCTGTTTCGTCCTTCTCTGGCTCATTGGTGTTCTTAGAGATCGAAAAGGTGGACATCCATATTGGTCTAAACTACTGTTAAAACAGATGAGTGGTGCGTTAAACTCCCTCATTAATGAATTGAGAAACTATATTAGAACTAGCTAATTTCAAATTAATCAGTAAATTGTGCATTAAATGTATCAAGTCAATATTCATAATTCATAATTGTGTCTATCAAAGTTACAGCTAACCTCCAGGACGAAAATTCCACCAGCAGTGTCTACTACCTTGTATCTTGAAAGATGAAGCTTAGGCACACACACCTATTCAGCTTAAATTAGGGTAGTTACAGTGCAGTATGACAAAAACAAATACACTACGTCATACAGCTGTATCGTCTTTCTAGGGCTCAGCAGTGTCAGTTTTCCTATACTTTATTATTATTATAACATATCTCAGGTAACAGAAAAGACAAACCTGTGCCTCCTGGGGAAACAAGATGCTGAGAACGAAGTATACCTAGACTGGGTGATTGCGAGAGAGGGAGACAAGGACACAGCACTGCTGTATATCATAGAAAATCTGAAAACCGAGGAAAGGGTAACTACAAAATGTACAATATTCCTCACCGAGACAACCATACCAACTAGGGGGCGATGCATATGAATGGGCGTTGCTCGAATTTTCCCGCGGCACCGTTTTTTCTCATTAAAAAGAAAACCACATGCATTAGGATTGAAAAAAGCCCACTGCATTATTAAGATTTTCCTTCATCTTACAAAAACATCGGTGCTGCCACCTAAACTCACGTCAATGTATTATCACATGTTTCCGTTTAACAAAGCTAGGGACTACCACAGAGACAAGATAATTGGTCGCAGTAGGTATGTTTGGACCTATCCTGTCAGTATTATATATTTATATTATTGTTATATTTCGAATAAAATAGGATGGAAGAGCAAAGTCTGACAGAGAGAAGTTATATGAAAGTAGATAGTACGGTCTAACATCAAAACAGACAAGAAAATAACTAAAATAATAAAATAACAAAAATACAAAAACAAAAATGGTTGTCAACATAAAACTGCAAAAAAAATTCCTCATGAAAAGGTCATGTTATAAAGCATTATGTTTTTCACGAATGAAAAAGCGTCGCAAAGTCTGCAAAACATTCAATGTTTGAATTGGAATGTACTGTAAAACCTTATTGTAATGCCAATGTTATTACACAGAAGTTTGACAACGAAAAAATAGGAGGAGGAACCTCCGAAATGTATGTCCATTTCTGAAACTTGTTTTCAAATATTTCTCGAATTTGTGTTATAGGTACAAGTCTTGGTCAGTTGCTTACTGATGAGCCGGGGCGCGGATCCATCTGTTTACAATACGTTGCAAGAGACGCCATTGCATGTTGCTGTAAAAAGGAAATTTAAAGGAGTATGCAAGAAACTTTTAGAAAAAGGCGCCTGGCCGAATCCTAAAGACAGTGAAGGGCGGTTACCATTTTCTCTAGCTGAAGAGAATGACGACGATGACATTGCATCCATGCTTATCCTCTACATGAAGAACCACGAGTAGTTATACTATATACAGTTTATAAAGTGTTCTATTAAAATTTATTTCTAGGAAATGATTTTTAATACAAACGTTTTCAGTTAAAAACATGAGTAAAAATAATATGTTAATTTTGTTTTTTATGATGATTTAAGAGGTGCAGTACATATTGTATCTGAATAATTACATTCAACTTTTGTAGAAAGATACATCATATTCGTACAAGACTTGTTTTTGTTGGACATGTGACAAATGAAAATCCCAAACACACCCATACATATCCCACACAAACACCCCGTACTTACTGTCTTAAAGCGGAGAGTACTATACTATTTCAATGTTTGCAATTTTTAAGACGTTTTTCCGTTATCAAACGTTTGCGCGTTTATCTGAAGAAAATAAGAGGTAGAGGTACCTAAATGTGAATTCAATATTGCAATGAACACTTCTTATTAGTATGAGATTAAATATCAACAATTGAAAGACAGTAAAACCTCTGTTGTAGGGTACGACAACTATTTTCCTATCACGGGACAGTTCCAGCTGAATTCAGCTTCCACAATCTGCTTCGATCTGGAAAAATGGAGGTATGTTTCTATGATATAACGAACAACAAAAGAAAAAACAATTTTGAAATTATATGTTAAGACTTTACTTGAACGTATTTAGAAATTAAAACAATCACCCAATGTAATAATAATTGACTTGTGTAACATACGATGATGAAACACGAACGCATCTTGAATTATATGGTTTTGTTTTTGTGTTTTTATTTGTTATGATTCATAGTGGTGTGTTTTCTTTTGGTGATTTATTTATTTTATGTTGTTTATTACTCCGACAGAAGACTGTCATGGCCGTCCTCAATTGCTTGGTAGACTTGGAAGGTACCGATGGAAAGGCTACCGTCTACTTCCACATACTTGAGAGTGACGAAAAGGGAAGGCATCCAAAGACAAAAGACTTCAACCAAAAAGACAGATCACCGTTCCAAATAATAGCAAAAAGCGGAAACAAAGTGCGTTCACTTAAACTGCCTTTAAATCATTCAAATTCGTTGCATTTTCTATGCAAACATAAGAATTGATTTACGAGAAATGCAGACTTCTATCTAAGAATAATTTTTAATCAGACTTAGTATGGATCCAATTTGTCTTAATGTTAAATAATCAAAACTGGTGAGGAACTGTTCATTATGAAAAGAAAAGCAAGAAAAATGAAATCAAAATTGAATGGAATATATAAAAACAGGAATAACCCATTAATGTGTCTTTTAAAGAATGCATTTTAGTGCATCGGATCTTATTAATGCCAACGTGAAATGAGGCTCGCTTAAATTGTTTACCTCTGTTTCCGCTCTTTAAATTAATATTTAAAGATCATATAGATTTTAACTGTAAAGAGTATATAAATTTCAGATCCAATGCTTACGCGAAAATTTCTTTACCGAGATCAGTTGAATGAATCACAACGCAAACATTTCCACACGCGAAAATTACCACTTTTCCAGTATGCTATGCATGCACGTCTTTCACTGAATCCGAACGTCGATACAAATTCTGAGTTATTTGTGAAACTGTGTATTTTTTGTCCTGTAGACAATCGTTAATCACGATATAATACGGTTGCTGGTACGGAGGAAGTGGAAACATTATGCGAGACTCCGATTTCTGTAAGTATTATGAAATAAATGCTTTTAAGGTTTGATATGCATCTTTTCAACATTCATGATGGTATGAAACACAGTTCCGTTTAGACATGTACCATGTCTTTAAAAGATACATTTCAATCCTTATATTAAAGTTTGAAACAAATACGTGTTATGCAATATTTTCGAATTGTTCTTTGAAGACACATTCGGTTCAAACAACATTTTTCCAAATGGCGCAAAAGTCATGTTTTGCGGGAATAAGATCGTGCTTTCTATGGTGACCTGTTTAATCAGACGATGAACTTTAATCGGAAATCATTTGGCTAAAAAAGTCTTGTTGATATTTTGTTATAGAAAACGGTACCATACAAATCCTAACGTATGTCATATTGGTCAGATCGAGGAATAGGTCACGTCAGTGTTTCTACCATTGAAACCATGTCAGTTTGATATTTGGTCATACTCTGTTAAGAATGATTATAACAAAATATCGTAGAGCTTGCCTCGCCACTTATGCAGTAACCTAATAGTTTAGATATGTCGTTTTGTTTTCAGTGTGAATGCAATTCTATTCATATGCAACCTTGCCTGCCTGGCTTACGCTGCCATAACCGCAGCCAAAGCGGACGACCCTCTGGTGTATGACAGCCCTCGGGACATCGTTCGGGCAGTATGCGAGGTGTTGAGTGTTATCACCGCAATTATCACGCTCTTTTTGGAAATCCACCATATCATTAAGTAATTATTATACTGCTTTTATCAAGTTCATTTATTCATCGAGAAATTGATTGGAATTATAAACTCGATCAACAAGAGGTCCCCTTTTGAGAGAAAAAATATATTGTTTGAAATAAGACCATGAACGTATATTTTATTATATATGTTGTCTGGAGAAATTGTTTATTATAAATACAAGACCACACACTGACAAAAAATGGGAGTGGAAGAGAAAATGTAACGCACATATTTAACTTTAATCAGATCTGTCCACGTCTTGTTTTTATGCGATACCATAATTCAATGTTTCAATGTGTCAGCAAAGAGAAAAAACAACAATGTTCGTGAAATATAAAACAGTTCTGAAGCTGTCAGCAGAGTTTGAATATTCCTCAAACCTGAATCATGAATTTTTCACTCTAACATTTAATAAATAAATCTTAATTTAAAACAAGTATCACGTTCTAAGCGCATTCATGTGTCTTGGTTCCTTCGTGGTTTAGATACACTAGTATTTCAGATTGTAAAGGACAGGAAATACATTTCCAAACCCGTAGAAAAAGGAAAACAGATTCACTAAATTGTTAAATCAAGTCCACCTGATTATCAAAAAAATCTTCTTCATTAAGTTCATCTACCCAAATAAAATTTCCCAAACTCTTCATTACCGTAGGTCAAACAGGTCATGAATTGGTCCGAGTACATTGAAATAATGACGTCCCTTTAAAGCCTCGTACGTTGTAATCTTACTCAATGTTAATTAATTATCCAATTTTAACGTAGATTTATTACTTTTTGTTTATTGTTTTCTTTTTAAAATCATGAAGTGTAAAATGTGTTATATCCTGGTCCTTCTTCTACAGGCACAAACTGGAATATTTAACGGAGAAATTTAACTACCTGGAGCTATTCTCCGCGCTGTTCCTACTTATCCTGGTTCCACTCCGCTTTACAAACAACGATAACCAATGGCAGATCTACTCAGTTGTCTTCCTTCTATGGACTCTCCGGATATTCAAATATGCAGCGGTGTTTAGGTAAGATGAATTACCGTAATCGCTGTAATTAGCGCCCAGGCGCTTGGAAATTGACTTTTAGGGTATTAGGATAATAAAATCTGAGCTTTGAGGGAAATAGTTGTATAGCTTCGACCGTTCTTATCACCGAAGGACATAAAACATTCCAGTATGGCTGGTGGTTTTGAAATCGAAAGTTTTATCCCCTTTACGGGTAATCCAGCCATGACCAACATACTCTCTGTTTTAACTCTTTCAACAGTGTAGACCATAATGGCCTCATCTAGATAAATTCATGGTAGAGGTTATTAATACATAGGGTTGAAAGGGTTAAAATATAAGTACTGA